TTGTGTTGCTGTTGTTGTTTTCCTGCTTTCGTTTTTATTTGGCTGTTTTCTGTATTCCTTTAGTTTTGATAATGTTACTTGCTTTTTTTTAGGGAGGGGGGTTTCTTCGCGGGGGAGGGGGAGGGTATTTAGTTTTGTTCTTGTTTTGTTTTATTTCGTTAGTTTGGTTTTGGGGTTGTTGTTGTTTTTTTGTTTGTTTGTTTTTTGTTGGGGTGTCTTTGAGAGAGAGGGGGGTGCTGTGTGGCAATTTGGGTTTTGGGTTGTTGTTATTATCAATGTTTTTGTTATTTTTGGTTTGTTTTGTTTGCTTTGTTTGTTTGTTGTTGTTGTTGGGGTTTTTTTGGGGGGGGGATATGTTACAATTAATAAATCTCAATGCAGTGGGGATTGGGCCTCTCACTACTACTGCCATCATCATCTTTTTTCAGATTTCGCCAGGAATTTCTTCAATTTCGGCGCGGGCAATGAAAACCTTGGCAGCAGAGTTCGCCTGTCGGGACTCGTGAGTCATGACTGCGATCTGCATCCTGACGGTTCCCATGAGACACAGATCATGTGCTACACACAGTAAGTTGTAGATGAGATCATATCTATCTATCTATCTATCTATCTATCTATCTATCTATCTATCTATCTATCTATCTATCTATCTATCTATACATCTATCTATCTATCAATCTATCGATCGATCTATCTATCGATCTATCTATCGATCTATCTATTAATCTATCCAACTATGCAAGTGAAAACACATGTTCGCACGATCACTTTACCTTCTCATCTGTTAGTCTTCATAATTACCAACTGTCTCTCATTATAAGCATGGCTTATATTTTAACCTTAACTCTCTTCTTCCCAGGCCCATGGCAGCCGGACAGTATGACGTCAAGGTGTCTGTGGATGGGGAAGATGTGCTGGACTCCAAATATTGCAGCAACGAAGACGACTGCAAGTTTACTGTAAGTGCAGGATTTCTCGTCGTTTATTTTAAAGGAAATACAAAAGCTGTAAGCTAGAAATAAATACAGTCGGACCTATCTAACGACCACAGGTCCCAAGACAATCAACTGTACAAACGGCAACTTCCTAGTTTCATTATATTATACTGAAACGGTCTAAGAGGACAGCCGGTCTAAGCTGATGACTATTCTCCATTCACCTCGACAATGGCTGAGCGTCTTTGATAAGTACGACTGTGCTTGTGCTGAGATTTGAAAGCCTCTTAGTGCTCTAATAGATTTAAGCTTATGCTTGCACTACCGTAACATATTTCAGGTTAACAGGCACTTTATCTATCTTACTCGCCCTTTGAATGGTTTAATTAATTCTGATCAATAATCTTTTTTATGTTTTTCATTTGCATGTTTGTGAAGCTTCGGAGTAGTTGTAGGCCTACCGTTTA